TTCGATCGGAGACTTCCAATAATAATACCAGTTTTTAATGTTAACTGTTTTTATACTTAGGTTCCCCAAAAACCCCAAAAAATGAATATGTCGAAGATTATAGGGCAATGCAATTATTGGCCAAATTTATTGGTAAACATGACTAACTTGTTTTAAACTGGCTACCAGGTTACTCGCGAGTGCCTTGTAATGAGATACAAATCTAGCTGGAAGGGCCTAAAGTATTTCATACTAATTTTCATACTCAGTATTCGCAATTAAAACTCTTGATAATAATTTAAAATTTAATATCTCATCTTCTGATTTAACTACTGACCTATTTAAAAGTGTTGAGAAGACAAACTAATTATTAACTCATAGAATCAGGCAACAAGCGACAAGTGCCAGTACATTAGGGTGTTCATTAATTACGAAGATGATATATTCTTTCCTACTCCCTTTAATTTATTCAGATTTTGCATTACAAATAAGTATTAAACACTGATTTTCGTTGTTGGTATTTATATAAGCGTAAAAATATTTATAATTACATTTTATTGGTTTTTTTTTTTTGTTTAGATAAACACAAATTTTTGGAAATTCCTAATACAAGTCTATCTAGTTTACATCTGTGTTTTGTTTTCCTTGCCACTTAGCAACCTGCACTTTATTGTACTAAAATTTAAATTTTAATTTTAAAATAAAAAAAACAAAAAAAAATTTTCTTTTGTTAAAATTTTTTCATATTTTAATTTTTAATTTTTAAATTTTTTGGTTTGGGAAACGCTACAATTGTTTTCAACTAGTTTTTAATACGCAACATTAATTAACTGGAAAAGGAAAATCGCCTTTCTTCGAAATTGCTACTTGTTGCACTTTTTTCTGCACTTTGCACTTAAAAATTTAATACTCTAATGGCCGCTTTCAAATTTTATCAGCTTTCAATTAAAAAATAATAATCTCAAATTGTGAGCACAAAATGCCAGTTTTGAACCACTGTGCGATGAAAGGATGAGCTTCCCGACGATAAAGAATTAGTGCTGCGAATAAAAATCCTGCGGCTTGGCTGGCTTGGCCATGTCGTTTGAATGGACATCAACGCTCCATTCAACTCGGAATCGGCTGGTGGTAGCGGCTGTAGAGGGGGGCCCCTACTACGTTGGAAAGTCAAGGCGGAGAAGGACTTAGCTTCCATTGGCATTTCTAATTGGCGTCAGTTGGCACGGAAGAGAAAGAAAATCGCTTAGGCGGTTACAGCGCCAATAAATAAAAAGAAGAAAATATAACATTTTTTGAGTCTAGCAGTGGGCAGCTGCCCCACTTTTTTTTATTTGGTTAATACTTGGAGTTCTTCAAAATACGGCACAATAATAGATCAAGACAGTGCGTCAATGTAACTAAAAATATTAAACGCGAATGGCAAGATTAACTAGTTTATTGAAATAACTCATTGCTGATTGAAATGTGTACTCAAATATTATATTCAAATAGTCTAACTTTTCACGATGAATGCTTAACGCCTTTTTTTACAAACTGCGCGGAAGGGAGCCGCAAAGTCGTTAATTTTTAGAGCAAGTGTTGCTAATTTATCGCAGACGCCATGAAAAATGTCTAATAGTTTTCAAATGCGCTCACTGTCGCTGCTAAATGAGCTGAGTGTGTTGGCGATGCTAAAAAGGTACAGAGTAACGATATCGCGTGCTAAAGCAAGCAACAGTTCTAACGTTCCACTTAGGTGAGCATCGTGTTAAACACCCAGACAACAACAAATACAAAAAGTGAGCACAGTTATGAACTGGCAACAATGGAGCAGCAACACCACAACAAGTGCAACAACAACATATAGAAATAGTATGTATGTATGTAATAATAATGTAGTAAAAGCAGAGCAGAGTGGAGTAGAGCATAAACAGCAGCAACGCACTGAACTGTCGACAGGAAGTGGGATCCAAAAATAATATAAAACAAAAATTAAAATATTTAATGGGAAATAAGTATAAATAAAGCGTCAACTCCCTTTGCCGCACAAACAAAAAAAAAATATTTCCATTCGTCGCTCAGCCACTTGCATTGTCGCTTGAATCTGTAAAACTGCACCGGCGCTGATACGAGTATGTCAGCGGCGGATGATGACAGTGACTGTTGGTTAATGGCTGCTGGCAGCAGAGATACATATGTACCTACATATATGTAATTTAAGCCCACCACTTGTCTATTTTCCATTGCCGGAATTGTATGGAATTTCAACCGCAGCCATTCACCTAAAACACTGCACAATTAATGACAACAATTGCCGGTGTTTTCCGGTTGCTATGGCAGCGGCGCTGCACCGAAACAACAATAAGTAGTAACTATTGTGATGTACGAAGCTTTACATATAAATTCTGTGCCGCAGCGAATGTTAATTTGAATGTTTGCCTCTGCTTCGCCATGCCATCACCAAATCAGAACGCTATGCGTGTTTACTGCCGCATAGTGTAGCAAAGTGCCGGCACAGTGGGCCAAGGTGGCTTAAAAAGAGAAAAATTTCATTAAGTTGAGTTGTAAGTAGAGGCATTTCAAGGACGCTGTGCGCGACCTCTAAGGATTTGGATGAAAGTTGAAGAGATTGAAGGTATAGGTAACATGAATATACGTGCAGCACATTTCGCCGGTATGACGTAGGGTCGCCTATTTACACGGGACTTAAATTTTAAGAAAACGACATACATATCTTGCTTTAAAGTGCTGTATCTTGGAAACCTTTTAACAAAACTTAAAGAAAAAAAATTATTTCTTCTGTCTTATTATGGGCTTGAATAGTAAATTTTTAACATTAATGCGCAACGTATAAAAAAGAAATAAAAATTAAGAAAACACTTTTCTTTTAGATTTTTTTTTTTGATTATAGCATTTTTTTATTTTTTTTTACAGAAAAACATTGTATAAAATGTATCTGAAATCACGAAAATCCTTTCAAGGAAATCGCAGAATTGAACTTTGTTGCAAGTTCACATGGGCAATCTGCTTGCGACAGGGTTGGAGGAAATTTTAAGAGACTAACAGCTAGAGCAAGTCTTCAGCTCTCGACGTCACAATAAATTCTTACACCCGAGGCCCTCTAACAATGGGGTAAGACTAATTTAGAGAAAACTAAGGTGCTGTATGCTGCCAAGAGTGATAACAATGAAGTTAAGCAAAACATTCAAAATAGATTCGCAAAGACACAATAGGTTGGCAAGGTTGGTCCCTTCATTTAAACAAAAAAAGGAAAGGTGTGTAAAAAAAATAAACCCAATGAATAATAAAATTATAGTTAAAAAAACCAACAACACGCTTTTATTACAATAAGAACTAAAAATAAAATAATTATTTATTGATTTAAAGACTAGTTAAAGATTTAATTTAGTTGCAGTTATTTTTGACAAACATCCCATTGGAAACATTCCTTCTTTTTCTCTAAATTATTCTTACTCCATTTGTAGAGGGCTTCGGATGTACAAATTTGTTGTAACGTCAGGAGTTGAATACTTTCTCCAGCTGCTAGTCGCTTAAAATTTCCCTCTGTATAGATGCTTACATAGAACTATTTAACAAAACTTTTAATATTTTGGTGTGGACGATTATAGAGATTTTTTGAGCAAGGCCTGGAGAAGCGAAAATCTTTATTAAAAAAAAATCTAAATTAGCCTTGTCTGATCATTGTTCAATTCCCCAATATCGGATCACCTTGCGTAATCCAAGAAGAACCGAATGGAGAAAGCTCATCGAACTACATAGAAAATAGTTTAACTTAAGTCACATACTGTCCAAAAAACACAAAAATTTAACCTTAGCGGCCAGATGGTTTTCTCTCATACTTATAATGTCGCAAACATCTTAATGAAGTCGTTGCCCTGTGGGAAGAAAAAGTTTTCAAAACCCAGCCTATAACTGACCTTTATACCGTATACTATTTGGAAGAGAGTCAAATTTGTCTTCTTGCCTTAACCAGGGAAGAGAACACAAAAAAACCTAAAGCCCTAGGTACTCTATCCTTAAAAGATCAACTATGATGTGCAGTCCAACACCGAGTTATCTCAGCATCTTTTTGAAACTAGTCTAATAGAGCTGTAGATTATAAATACATAGATTGAATCTAATTCAACTATTAAGTTGTCTATTCGTACCAATTTCATAATCAGCCTTATCATGCGTTTTATTTTCGCCCTAAATCGTTCACGTTTCTCTTATCGATTATATGTATTCATTACGGACAGATGCAAAAATTTCGGGGGAGTTTGTTTTCGAGCGAAACTCAGGGTAAGCTGAATGTGGTTTCGTAGGATGCATTGCGGATTTAAATTGGCATCTATTTAACGAAAATTGGATCGGAAAACCGCTTGCCACACCGTACCTACCTCAAAATATGCGCACATTTTCACCCACAGCGGAACACTGTGCCTTGCGTGGCTTATTTAGGTTCTGGGTGATTGTGGCCCAAGCACTTACATACATATAATATTTCTGATTATAAAAATACGGGCTGAGGAGATGGTTAGCTGTGCATGGAGCATTTAAAAGGTATGTACGAGCATATACTATGTAGCATGTTTGTAGGTAGGTTTGGTCTTTGGCAGTAGTAGGCAAGTGAATGTGTCTGGCAGTCGTTTGCGGAAGTGAAATGAGTGCAGCCGAGCACCAGCGATGAGCTCGAGTAACTGTGTAATATTCCTATAAAAATTGTGTACATATTCTAAAAAGAGCACTAAAACAGTTAAGTAGTTCATAATAATAAATGCAAAAAACGGCGAGCAAACAAACTCAACAAGGCAGTTAATTCAGACGATTGTGAAAACAGCTAAAACAACAAAACTGCTGTAGGTACAGCAATAAAGCAAGACAATTTTCAACAACAAATAAGGCAGCTTAACGCGACTGACATTTGTTTATCAACAACAAAAGGTGGCACATTTGCATGTTTAAGCGAAGTGACTGCCAAGCTATTTTTGTAAAGCTTCTTCCACGCTTTGTTTTGCTAATTCTGTGAGTGCATGAAAATTGAAGGATAAATTAGCAGCCGCGTAACTATGATAAATTTAAATATTTAAGTGCTGCTAATAAGCCTAAAACATGTACAAGTAAAGCAAGTAAATTTAGCGCAATTCGTGCAAGGCGCGCGCGCTTCGATTTCGAGCAGTGGTAGGCGCGCGTACATTCGCTTACGGGTGACCCAACGGTTGTGCGCCCAGCGTCTGGCACATAACGACCGCCAAAAGCCCTGCGCTTCAGCGCCCCTCCCTCCCGCCCCCTCCAGCGGCGCTGCAGCAATGACAGTAGCTCACAAACAGCTCTAAAAAGCTCAGTTCAATTCACAGCCGCACGCTTGAATTCAGTACAGCTCAGCTATGCTTGGTGCGCGCTCTACCCGTGTGCGTTTGAAATTCATTCGCGCTTGTCAAACTGGCAGTTAGTTGTTGGCTTATCGCGTAGTTACAAGAAAAAATACAGTACGGCGTGAAGGGTTTTGAACTACTGACATACTGAAAAGTGAGTTGAAACAATATCCAATTTCGTGGTTGAAAACAAACAAAGTGGAGTAAGAATTGCTCAACGCTGGGCGTGCCGCCGCGGTCTTCCCAATCAGCTCCACCCGCGTGTCAATGTTCTCACCGTGCAAAGCGTCGTGGTGTCGCCTCGCCGTTTGGCTCGCAGCCGGTGGAATTATCTTGCTGGTGGTTTTGGTGCTCGTCGTCTTAGCCATCTTCGGTAGCCATCCATGCGCTGGCGCGCTGGAGAATTGCGACGAGTTCAGAGCCATTTGTGCCTCGTATAACGGCGATCATCAGTTCTTCTACAGCCATTGTGATATGTTGCGCGAGAATTGCTTGACTGGCAGCGGTGAGTAGTAAGCCAACCCATGCGTGTTGCGCGCTCTCATTTGCATTTGCATTTCTTCTTGGTCTTATTCTTCTTCATGTTTCCTATGCTTTTTTCGCGTGATGACTAATCGTGTTGTGACTGATTGTACTTTCATTTGAATTTGTTTACAGATTGGCAGCGAGATCACTACAATCATTGCAATGTGAATGTTTAGTCACCGCTACTGCTTTAAGTTCCACGAATGTCAATTAAGTTATGTAGAAGTTATGTTAGTAATTTAAAGAAATCAATTAAAACCGCTTACACTTGTGCTCATCCCAAAGGCTATAACTGTATTTTAAATGAGAGAATGCTGATTCAAGTATGTATGTTCTAAATACGAAGGTAGCTATTGCTTGTTTTATAAAAGCTTATATAACATCAACAATTATTATATTAACAATATTATGCATGTTTAGCTATTTTTTTCGCTCGTAATAAATTATTAAGAAAAAAGTTTTGCAAGAAATATGTATTATTAGTATTAGTTCGAATATATTGACGCGTACCAAAAAAAAAAATGAAATCAAATACCAAAATATTATTTATAAATACTATAAGCATATGTTTGTTATAGAAAATATGTATAAAGAATTGTTTTAATAAGTAAATATAAATTTATTTTGCCGAAATAAAATTTATTTTTAAAAACTACTTCGCACGCATTGCATTTACTTCGAAAGCACTTTTTAGATGAATTCGTTAAACTTTGGGCTTTTGAAAATGAGACTTGGAAAGCGTCCTATCGAAAATTAATAGTCCAGTTTCGGGGCCTAAGGTAAAAGGCATGTCATTTTTTACCAGAACTCTCAAGCAGTTAGAAATATTTTCTGTGTCTACTCTATTTTAAAACGAACCAAAAACATCTATGCTATTGAAGGATTGTGTATGTAGATAAGCTATATAAATAAAAATATTTAAAATTTTCTTCCCTTTTGATAGCAAAGAAGGCCAAGTCTATATCTGTAATTCCCGCAAAACTTATAGCTCCATCCAAATTGGAAGATACCTCTCTGCGGCGCTTTATACCTTGGGAATAAGGTTTGAAATAAGGCGACTTTTTCATGAATGAAAATCACGCCCTTAAAATCTATACGAAGGCTAACAAAAATGAGAGAGCTTTGGGGGCTTTCGACGGAACCAAGGCTAATTCCTTTAATGTGGTATCGATTCTACAAATTAAAAAAAAAATGTGTTTTATTTTTGCTTCCACAACTACCATAAGTAATTGTTTATTGAAAACCAATTTATCTAACTAGAGTGAAATTAATCGCAATTGTAGTAATCGTAGTTTGAAAATTTATGCATATTATTGTTTATATGTGCGATCACTTATTGGTATGCGTATTATTATAAAATTGAATTTAATTACAATTCTATACACAACTATAGAAGAAACTCTTACTGATAAATAAAATGTTAAACAAGATTAGTTAATATATAATTAAAAGTTGGTTAAATTTCCTACACCCATCAAGTAATTCTGTCGGAATTTAACTTATTATTCTGTTTCCTTGACGATTCATGTGTCATATGTATGTATGTAATATATATACATACATATATATGCTCACAATTTAAGATTGAAAGTGAAAGAATAAATTATTAACATGATTCATATATTTGTTATTTAAAGTTTAAAGCTTTTCAACAGGCCAATCACCTGGCGATTATAACGGTATGTAACTACAATGGCACACGCTCATACCTACGCAATAGTGAACAAGGTCATTAGTGTGACGTAGTTTAATAGCAGTGCTGTATGGCGATTCCGCATGAAATTATTTTATGAATGAAACGCGTGTTTACTACTAACGACACATGCAAACATATGCAATTACACCAGTGGGAAATAAGACAGTGACTGAGCTTTGTTTTCGCTCTCTTCGCAAAAAAACGCCACTAAATATGGAATATACATACATATGTACATTTGTGATCAGCTGATTAAGTCACCAACATTTTGATCAATTTTGGCTATATGTCTTTTGTTTATTTAATGTTTATTATTTTTCCATAAAAGTCGAGTTCATTATGTAACAAACACCGTATAAATCCACACTTCAAACTTTGTGCAAAAATTATAAAAAATCCGAAAAATTTCTGCCAAATTTTCAACTTTTTATTTAGATTTTTTTTAATGCTGTATGCTGGTATGCCATAAAGGTATTCTACTTGAAATTCTAAGCCAATTTACCAGCAGCGGAATATTATTTTATGACTTTACAATTAAGCGGTCATGGCTTAAGTTTATTAGAGAAGAAATGGAGAAAATTTTAAAATAATATACTAAAGCATAGTAACGATATTATTTTCTAATTTTTTTGTAGGTAAGTACATATGAAAATACGACCACACCTATGCATATCTGCCTATGTAGATACATATTTATGTGTTAACGTGTGGTTGTACTATGCACATATATTCGCTTTCAAAATAGAGAAGAAAGCTTTAGCCTTTTATTGCCGCATCTAAAAAAAAGCTGTGTAAATATTTTCTTTCAATATTAAAACAATTCCATTCTGCAGGTATTACAAATTGTTAAACACATATGTATGTACATACCTACATACGTTCTCGTACGGTGCATACGCATGATTTCTACAAATGTTCATGAATTTAAAAACCGAAATTATTTTACTGAAAACAAGGGAAAATTTATTTTATTGAATATGAAATTCCGCCATCGCCTTCTTGGATTCATGTAGCATTCAGCTAACTGTGGTTAACGGTACTATTTTTAAAATCACTCTGAAAACCGACTTGCGACTTCGATACCGAAAGGTCGGAACTAAAGAGAAAGCTTTGGAGCTTTTGTTTGTTAAGAACATTTTACAAGTATTGCCGCTTCAAGAATTGCTGAAACTCTATCTCTTGCTTCTTTCTGGAGTTAAGAAGAAGGAAACGCAAAAAGTGAGCAGGCGGACCTTGAAGAGCTCGCTGACAAGAAGAATAGCATGTAGTTCCATTTTGCTAACTAGCTTTAATGAAATATATTCTTGTTATCTTCAAATATTCAGCAGTTTTATACACTGTGGAAATTTTCATGATGTACATTCGAATGTTTATTTGTTGTTAACCAGGATTTCATTTAAATATTTGTTTTGCATAGATTTTGTTTATGAATTTTTGCCAAAAATTGCGTAGTTGCATAAAATAAATGTGAGCTTGTATTTATTTTTCATTGATTAACAAGCGTACATACGCACATACATATATACATATGTATATTTACATGAGTTGAATTTGAATTTAAAATTTTTGTGTGGCTTTTTATTTTATATGTAAATAAAATCAATTAAACTAAATATATGGGGAAATAATGAATTCAAAAAACCAAGATTCACACACAAGAAAGTACGACTGCACATCATTTCCGATATGACTAAAACACAACAACAAGACATAAATTAAATACAAACAAATGTTTAATTGAAAATAATAGTGATTAAATTAAAGTGTCTGAATCGTCTGAAGAAAGTCAATTGAAGAGACGACCAAAAAGGCAAAAGAAAATGAAAGTAAAAACCTGAATACACTTAGATACTTAAAAATCTGCTGCGCACAAACTTCAAGTTGACTAATTACACAAAATATATGAATTGAGATGGTAAAGAATGGCGCAGGCAATAACCTGGACTTAATATAATGGCCTTAACGGAAATTTATCTATCACAACTCCAGTGAGAGTGTCAAAATTTTGATTGTCGTGCATACGTCAATGGAAATGTCAACAAAGATGCCAGACTCCAACACCAAGGTGCATATATGTGTTTGTACATATGTACGTGTGTAAGAATCTTTGTAAAGCGGATTTAGTTACAAATACGAAAATATTTACCTACCGGAAAAAGGCCCACCACAAATACCATCACACTAGGGATGTTAATTTTTCAGCTTTTTCCGATCCCCCGATTTTCGGGATATCGTTATCACAATTCCGGGATGCCGCGATTAGTCCCTTGATTTAGATATTCATTGCTTTTCAATGGCTTAAATCAAAAAAATTGCTTCTATATTCTTTGAGAAGCTTTCCTACCATAAAATAAATAATAAATAAATGGGTTTTAAACCTACTGTATTACTTAAAGTGGCGTTTTTTTTTCTCTCTGACCGCAGGATTTATTTTCAAGGACTTTGTAATTTCAAAGATATGATTTATTTCAAAAATTATTTAAAAAAACTCAATGCAATGTAGAATAAAAATATGGGTATCAAATGCAAGAGAAAATTCCTTTAGAATTAACAAAAATATGAATAGGTAATTTTTTAAGCTGATAAAGTTAGACGGACGAAATTCGAGGATATTATCGAGTTCATATAAGCGCTTGACATATATTTTTTTCAAAAACAAATATTGCAAAATTTCAAGGATAAAGTTTTAAAAGCACATTTTCAATACTTACCAGTCCTTCTGTACCAAAAACTTGAATCTGTTTAAATTCTACCGGGTTTCCTCTTTAATTTGATATCCATACTTCTTCTCTAAGCACATTTCTCTGAATTTTTTAAATCATTTTTGAATTGCTGACGTCAGAGTGAAAAACTAAAAACGCAACTTTGATCTATTTGGCCCATGGTTTCGCGAATAAATATATATTTTTGTTTAAAATTTACTATCGCGCGGCGTTATATGTATAATATTAATTATTAAACAAGTAATTTTTAGCAAAAAAAACCGACTTCAACTCTCATATAAAAAAAATATATATATATATATCTCATGATCCGAGAGAATTATCGAAATCGGTTGACGTGGTCCAAAGTTATGCGGTAACATACATAAAACAAAAAAAAAAAAAANTGGAAGTCAGTTAATAAAAAAAGAAATACTTATAACCAATACTAGTCAATAAAGGGAGTTTCTATTATTGCCAACAGTGCAAATTACATATCCCGAAAATGCCGGGACCATTTGCCGAGAATCCCGGGATTCCTAATCCATTCCTAATTCACACTCATAAATCAACACTTGTCACTTGTGGCGCAGTATTGTAGAAAAGAGAAGTGGAAGGCAGCTGCGTTCGCCAGCAGCTCGACTGACGGACAATCAGCAAATTGACACAAAAGTTTCATTCGCACTTTAGATATCATTTGTTATGACTTAAATAGTTGTTAACGTTTTTTTCTTGTTGATGTTGTCATAGCTGTGGCACAACATGGCTGAGTCCATAATAGGGTATTGTGTTCATGTTATGCAGCTTACCTCTCAAAATATTGAAATTTAAATTTAACGAAATTTCTGGCTGTTTACAATAAGATATAACTCATTCCTTTGTTCAGTCAGCCTTGGAGCAACAATGTCAGAATACTCAGTCGGAGTTAAGAGATACTAAGATTGGAAAACATACACGGGCTTTCTGCCTTCGTGACCAGAGAAATCTTCTTAGCTCCTCGTCTCAGGTACGTCATAGGTATAGTATTCGTATGGATTTTTTATCAAATTTGCAATTGCAATGAATAACCCAAAATATTCCGGGCTGAAGCATTGGTCGTCTTAACCTTCGCCAAAGAGATTGAATGCGCATTTACAATTACGTTTCCAGAAAGCCAATTGGCAAACTGTCATCAACTCCAAGCTTCAAGTTTTGGCGGCATTGAAAGGACCATCAACTGTCTTCGTGGCCTTAGACGGGCTATGCTCTGTGGCTATC